TTGGGAGCTAATTATTATTATTACTATTGTTTTTTGTTTTAGAGTTAGGCCTGTTTAGCTTTAGGAGTCTCTGAAAGTCAAGCTGGTTGGGTTTTCTCAGAACAAATGTTCTTTACATACATGTCTTTGCATCTGGCTTGGAGTTTCAGGTGGTTGTAAAACGCCATATGGGTACTGGAAGTTGAACCCAGAAGAGCAGCCAATGCTCTTAACCACTGATCCATCTCTCCAGCCCAGGAACTTGTTCTTTGAAATGAAGAATTCAAGAATTTCCATCAGTGTAAAAGCTGAGATTTAAAATACAGAATTAAATTTACCTCTCTAGGACCACAAACAAAGTAAATCACTTGCAGAATATTGCTGGAGGTATCATACAATACTTGACTTCAAATGATACTACAGTGCCATAGTGATGAAGGTAGTATAGCCCTGGCACAAAAAACAGACTTGTAGACCGACAGAATGGAGCAGAGGACTCAACAATAAACCCACACAGTTATGGCCGCTTAATTTTTAACAAAGACATAAAAATACACTGGAAAAAGATCGTCTGTTCAACAGATGGTATTGAAAAAAAAAACAGATAGCCATCTGTAGAAGAATGAAATTAGATCCACATCTCTAACTTTACACAAAAATCAATTCAAAGTGGATCAAAAGACCTTAATTTAAAGCCTGAAACACTGAAGCTCTTGAAGAGAACAGCTGTATGAGGAATGAACTTCAAGACAAAGACAAGAACTTTCTGAACTGGACTTTAATGGCACAGAAGTTGTCTGAGGAACTAACAAACAGGACAGTATGAAATAAGGTTTCTGTACAGCAAAGGAAATCACCAGCAGAATGAACAGACAGCCTGCAGAACAGGAGACAATCCTTGCCAGCCACACCTCAGACAAGAGGCTAACATCTAGAATAGATAAACAACTCCATAAATGAGACGCTCCAAAACCCTGTCAATCAACAAGGTGGGTATCAAAAGAAGAAACATGAGTGGTCAATAAGTATTCCAAAAAGTGTGTAACAGCCTAACCATCAGGGAAATGCAAATATCTACTTTGAAATTGTGTCTCATCCCAGTCACAGTGACCTTCATCCAGAAGCCAACAGCAAAGAGAGATGAAAGGAGTATCTGTAGCTGCCCCTTTCGTCACATCACCTCCAAAAAAGTCTTGGCCATTCAAGAAACTTCCCTGTCACTGTGTTAGTATGTTTCTTTTTCAAAAGCTGGGAAAATAACAGGGTTGAGAGAGTCTCCCAGTTATGGAGCAGAGAAGTTGTGTCTTTCAAGATAACCAGATATTGTTGGGAGGGCCTTGGAAAGACCATGTTCTTTCTGGACAGGATGTGGGGAAAGAGGAACCCTTATTTGCTGCTTCTCGGAATGTAACCAGTAGTAGTAGAGGGAACTACTATATGACCCAGATATAACCCTCCTGTGCATCCACTCACAGAGTACCAAACTTCCATGCTCACTGCCACATTATTCACAACAGCAAGGAATGGACTCAGCCTAGACGCCCATCTTAGGATGAGTAGATAATGAAACAACAAAATTCCACTCAGCTGTAAAGAAAACTGAAATCTACAGGAGAACTCATAGAACTGCAAAGTATTATGTTAGACAACAGACTCAGAAAAAAAAATGACATGTTCTCGCTCACATTTGGATTCTAGTATATGGTGTGTGTGTGTGTGTGTGTGTGTGTGTGTGTGTGCAACAGAAAGATCATGAGAGGAGGAAAAAGAGGACGGTGGGGAATAGCAACACATGACATGAAAGCAGAAAGAAGGCTATGGGTGGGGAGGAAGAGATGCCAGAGAGACATCAGAGAAGAGGAGAAGAGAATCGACAACATTTTTTTTTTTTTTTTTTTTTTTTTCTGAGACAGAGTCTCATGACACAGTACTAGCTGGCCTGGAACTTGCTATGTAGACTAGGTTAGCTTCAGACTCACAGAGGTCTTTTGAATGCTGGGATTAAAGGTGTGCACTGCCACGCCCAGCATCCAAAAACAAATTTTGAACAAGAAGGTCAGAATTAAACCTATTATCATATGTGCTAGTTAAACATCAAAACAAAATGAATTCTCCTTTCTATACCAAGCTCAGATTGTTGACAGCATAAACAAGCGCCCTGGAAGTGGAAAGAATAATTCGGTGTGCTTCCAGCTCTTTGTTGAAGGCTATCCACATAAGCCTGGGCAAGCAATGTCCTCCTCCAGCCAGGGTATAAAACAAGTGGAAAACTGGGTGGTGGCGCACGCCTTTAGTCCCAGCACTTGGGAGGCAGAGGCAGGCAGATCTCTGTGAGTTCGAGACCAGCCTGGTCTACAAGAGCTAGTTCCAGGACAGCCTCCAAAGCCACACACACACACACACACACACACACACACACACACACTGATTCTTGTGCTTATTAAAGTTTTTTTTATAAATGTTTTGTAGGCATGAACATATTAAAATGAAAGGATTGTGGTATCTCTGAGGTCTTGCCTTTACAAACAATTCTAAGAAATAGTCCAATCAGCATTTTTCCACTTGGGGACATCCACTCAGCACATGACTTTGGACTTTGGTACTCTTTCTACAGCAACTGTTCCAGGTCAGAGTGTAAGATGTACAAAGGTATCTCTGTTATTTGGTGAAAGAAAATGTTTTTCAAGTATGTGACCTTTCTCAAAGGTTAGTTTACACATTTCCACATGGCACAGCTATCAAACATGAAACTTTGAACTCTCTCTCTCTCTCTCTCTCTCTCTCTCTCTCTCTCTCTCTCTCTCTCTTTTCTCTTTCAGGAACCATTCTAGGTCAGTGTATAACTCTGTGTCACATAGAAAGAAATCTCAAGGTTTTAAACTGTGTCTCATCTTAATATTAGTAAGAGTATGAGGTCTACCAGCAAGTTAGGTTCAATTCTAATTTGAATGCAGGACTTTCAGTATATCCTCCATGTAAACACTGCATAAGGCAGGAAGCACTGGCCCAGCATCACAAATTTGAACATCGAACTACTCCAAAACTGCATTTTCTTGAGTGTGTAGCCATGATCCCATAACACTGTAGCATATGGCTTTGTTTCCCGCACAGCATTCTTAAGTGTATTGTATAACACTACCTTCATGCTAAGGCAATATGGTGTGCAGGAAAACACAAGTAAACTCTTTGGACCTGGACTCCATCCTTAAGATGACCCATGTGATATATATGAAAATATCCAAAATCTGGAAAAATTCTGGTTCAGAGTAATTAAGATCAGGGATAGCCAACCTATAAGTAGTTGTGTTTCTGACTTTATTATAAAACAAAACTCAAATAGTTGTTTAAACTCCAGTCTCTTGGTCAGTTAACCTCTAAGCCCTATGAGGTCCCCTGAATGAAACAGTAGAGTTGGGGTGCTTCCAGGTAGAGCACAGGTCATTAATACCATTGCTCTAAGAAAGCTGGCAACACAACAGGCTTGCCACCCAGTTACTGAGCAGTGAAGCCTTCAGAGATTGTTGGGACATAGCTTAAAAGGTTCAGGCCCCTTCCATAATCTGGTGCCTTTAACATCATCTCTCTGCTTTTGAAACTTTTGTAGGAAGCATCCAGTTTTCATATTACACACTTTATGTCACATGTGGCAGGGTTATAAACTACATGGTTTCTTAGAAGTAAATGGACATTTCTGACTTCTGGGGGCACTGGGCAAACTTCGTAGTCTGCCTCAGTTTCCTGAGCTATGAAGCAAAGGGCAGAGCAGATAGATTCTTGGCTTTTTGAGGCTTTAACACACACACCCGTGTACAGGATGGCATTGTATAAGAAAGAATGTAGGCTTTGAAGCTAGACTCAGCTAGAAATTTTACCTCAATCATACAGCAAAGGTTTGATTCTTAATTAACCAGAGTATTAAAACCATCCATTGTAGTGTTTGGCACAGATGGGCACGCCAAAAAGTTGGGACTTCTAGATCCCTTCATCTTCTGTATTGTCACTAATGTCTTTTTAGCATATCCCTGGTTATGCCTCTCCTTACTGGGAGAAGCAACTACTGGCACCAGCGCAGAGACTAACTGTTAGGAGTTAGTCTAACTGTGTGGGTAGAGAGCAGGTTCTGTTTCTTTCTGGCTGTGGTTATCACTTGGGCATGAAGTTTTCATTTAAGTCCAAGGCAGCCACACAAATGAAGGAGCCACCATTTTACAGAAGCACAGTGGCAGATCTCCAGCCTTCTCTCTGAGCATCAGGAGCCGGGCATGCTAACAGCACTTAAGATCTGAAGCAGCCTTGAAGACAGCTTCAAGAGAGAGAGGAAATGAAAGGATGGAGATAGGAATGACTTTCCCAGGGTCCAAAGTCTACCAAGGACTAGAGGAGGGATCCACTGCAGTTCTCAGGCAAGACCCCTTAATTTTAATGACAATGTTTAAGTACTGAGTACAGGAGTGAGTTTGGGCGGATCCTTCTGGTTAACCCCAAGTTTTCCTGACACTGTGGGTATGAAGCTTTGAATCTTGGGGCTGCACTGGGCTCATCTACACGTCTCATAATAACCTCTATGTGTTGTGAGGATTAAAAGAAACATTGTGCATATACAGTGGTCCTCTGGGATAATTCTGGGGTGGGGGAACTGGGGTGAGCAACATGGACACACATTTCTTGCCTCCAAACAACACAGCCTAAGAAAGAGTGGCATAACACTCAACCTTGTGTTAGGTATTTTAAGCAAACTGGACCTCACACTGGAAGACTGAAGTGCTTAGCAGAGTGCCTCGATAGATAGACCACTTCACCCTTCACCTTTGATGATTCTAAAGATTATCAACGAGCGTTGCACATCTGGAATTAACCTCTTTTTCCGCCTCCCCGGCTTCCCGTCACACTGCAGCCCCGCAGCCAAGACGCCAAGTCCCCCAGGGCTAGGGCCGGCGGTCTGCTGCTCACCTGGGGAGGCCAGCAGCACCTTCGCCCCGCAGCACTGGAAGCAGTGCAGCAGAGACTTGGAACGGATGTTGTAGTTGAGGCACGCCATGGGACAGCCAAGTTTGAGCAGCCCCAGCCAGATCCACACGTAGGCCGGCTCATTGCTCATGAAGAGGGCCACGCAGTCCCCCTGTCGCAGGCCTAGTTGGTCGTGCAGCACCCGTGCCACTTGGTTGCTGCGCCGGTCCACCTGGGCGTAGGTGAGCGTCTCGTCTCGGAACAGGAGGAAGGGCTTGTGCGGGGTCTGGCGAGCTCGTTCCATGAAG